ATGTAAATGTATGTATGGATATATATATGCATATATTATAACATGATTATATATGCATATACATATATAGATGTATATAAATATTATGCTGAAAAAAGGGTATTGAAGTAATAAAGATATTGATAATGATGATGCTTGGAATACTTTCAGTAATAAAAATAATAACATTAATTGAATAATTATAATGATAGTAATGATATTGATAATAATGATAATAACAGCAATAATAATGATGATAATTATAAAAATAATAAGGATAACAGCAATAATGAAAATGATAATAACAATAATAATGATATGATAATAATCATTTTAATGATATTAAAGATATTAATAGTAATAGTAATCATGATGATAATGATAATAATGGCAATGATGGTAATGATAACAATAATAATAGTAATGACAATGATGATAATTATGTTAATAGTAATGATAACAATAATAATAACTATAGTAATAATAATAAGAATGACAGTAATGATAATCATAATGATAATAATAACAATAGCAATGACAATGATAACAATAATGATAATAATAAAAATGTTAATAACAATAATGATAATAATGATAATGATAATAATGGTAACAAAAAACATAATGATGATAATCATAATGATGAAAATGATACAGATAATAATTATAAAAATGATGATATGGATATTGATAACAGTAATAATAATGACAATAACAACAAGATCAATTAAAACAATAGTAATAATAACAGCAATAGCAAGAACAATAATAATAATAATGATAATAGCAACAACAATAATAATAATAATAATAAAAGAATAATAGCAATAATAATAATAACAATAACAATAGCGAATCAAAAAGTAAATGATGATGATAAGAATAATAATAATAATAATTATGATAATAACAATAATAATAAAAATAAGGATAAGAGATTCCTCTCCGTTCGCCGCGGACCAATCACAGCCGCTCAGCCGCAATGACGTCACCGTTTAAGCCCCGCCCCCTCTCGGAAGGTCGAGGCCGTTGATTCCTTCACGAAAAGAGTGAGTCATGCTCCATGTGTACGCCGGAATTCCCATAATTGGCAGCAATATTAACTGTTTTTTTCTTCTTCTTCTCTTTCTTTATCCAGTTCCTTCTCCGCGCTTTGTTCATCGTCGTTATTACGTCCTTTTAGCGTAAAGAATGAGAGCATGGAACCTGTTGAAGATGTTAGGAAGCGGAGGCGATGCGCATATCGACGCTCATTTGTTTTTAAGTAATTGTTGCGCTTTTTTTGGCGGGAAATTTGAAAATTATTTTTTGACGGCTATTTTTTCCTCTTTCCTTTTTATTTGTCTTCTTTTCATTTTTTTCTTTTCTTTCCCTTTTTTGTAGTCATTTGCGGTTATTGAGTCTTTAAGGAAATATAAAAAGCTTTCGGAAAAAGAAAAAAAAAAGGTTGAAGTGTTAGGAGGGAGAGAGAGAGAGAGAGAGAGAGAGAGAGAGAGAGAGAGAGAGAGAGAGAGAGAGAGAGAGAAAGAGAAAGAGAAAGAGAAGAGAAGAGAAGAGACAGAGAGAGACAGAGACAGAGAGAGACAGAGAAAGAGAAGAGAAAGAGACAGACAGAGAAAAGAGACAGACAGACAAACAAACACATTTAGACATCGAAAAACAGAAAAAAGAGCGATTAAAAGAGGAGAGCAGAGAGGGGCAAACAGACCTACCTTCCCGGAAGTGCAGTTCCTCCCCAACGGCCGAGAAAGAGGGAGAAATGACGTAATCGGCCCTTCCCTCGTTTGCCTTTTTCCTCCGTCTCAATTCCCGTTTATTGTCTCGTTAACTGTGGGCGTTTTTGCGTCTGTTTCGTTAACGATTCATTGGCGTTTAAATTGTTTTATGGAGGGGAAGATTGGGAGGGAGGGAGAGGGATGGGGAGAAGAGAGACGAGAGAGAGAGGGAGGGAGGAAGAGAGAGAGGGGGGGAGGGAAGGATAAAGAGAGAGAAAAGAGAGAGAGAGAGAGAGATTAAGAAGAGAGAAAGAGAGGGAGAGAGAGAAAAAAAGAGAGGGAGAGAGAAAGAAAGAAAGAAAGAGAGAGAGTGTGTGTATAAAAATTAAGAAAATGAAAACAGTATGGTTTTTAATTTTGTATTTCTGTTCCCTATTTTGCAATATTATACCTAAGTTCGTATACAATGTACCCGCAAACATAAGTTAGTATAAGTAAAACAATGAACAGAGGAAGAAGAAAAAGAAAAATACATAGATACATAAAAACACAAATCAGCAATTCAACAAAGATTAAACGAAAACATCACATACCAATGAACTAACCCCCCTTACCCTTCCTTCCCCCCCCCCCTTTAGCCTGCCTTGGGGTTCATGCAAATACGTTTATCACTCAGACGAAACATAAACGATTTTTCAACAATTTTATTTCACGGATTACAAAACGACATACAGCTTTTGTTTTTGTTTTTTTTTTTTAATCTTTTTCTTTTTACACATGTTGTTCTTCCTTATTACAGATTCCTATATCAAGAACTAAACAGCTACTGGAAGCTCCGTTACAGTGAAAAGGGAAAAAGGAAGTTAATAATACTTTTATTATACATTACGTTGAGAATATTATAGCTTTAGGCTCGCGCATCTCGGGGGTTGCCAAGTGTTCTATTTAGGTGTCGAGTGCGAATTCCGGGTCTATTACCTTTTTATTATTCTGATTTCATTATATATTTTTTTCTGTTTCTTATTTCGCGTGACGTTAATGGAGACTTGGGGTGGGGGGGGGGGAGGGTGAATGAGGGGGGGGGGAAGGGGGTGTAGATGGGATCCTGTCGATGTGCATCTGAGTGTGGATATACAATATATACACACATATGTATGTGTATATATACATAAACACATAAATCGCACACAACACAAACATACACACACACACACATGTTGTATGTATATGTGAGTGACAATTCGCAAGCCTTCCTTTATCACGCCCACACTCCCGCCCACCCGACACGACCCCCCTCCCCGCCGCCCACTCACCCACCTGTCCCGTCTTCATCGCACTCTGACACGCCCACGAGAAGCCGCACGCCCGTTGGTCTTCTCTAAATCCATTTTTGTAACCTAAGAAATAATAATATTAATGATAATAATAGTAATAAAATGATAATAATAATAATAATAATAATAATAATAATAATATAATAATAATAATTAATAATAATAAAGGTAATAATAATAATAATAATAATAATAGTGAAGGTGATGATAAACCCAACCGCCAACCCACCTATGCACCACTTGCCCACCTCTAAACCCACCCTCTTCAATCTTTAACCCAATAACGCATTTACAATCCCCCCCACCCCCACCCACCCACCACCTATCCTAAACCCACCCTCTTCACCAACCTGCCTGTCCCCACCCAGTACCCCCCTCTCCACCCACCAGTACCCCCCCTCTCTCCACCACCCCATCACCCCTTCCACCCCCTCCGCCCTCCACACCCCCATCGCCCTTCCGCCCTACCCCCCCCCCGCCTCGCCCATTGAACCAGAGAACCGGAAGGCGCCCACGCCCACGCCCCCGTTAGATTCTCCTTGGCCTTGTCCTTTCCGGGGGGGCGGCCTTGACATTGTCCCAGGCCGCCCACGGGAGGGAAGGAGTCGGAAGGGGCGGCTTTGCTTGTTTGCTGTTGGGGCGCTCGGGTGGGCGGGGTGGGGTGGGTGGGGAGGGGAGAGGGGAGGAGGGGAGATGGGGAGAGGAGGGAAGGGGAGGGAAGGGAAAGGAGGGAGGGGAGGGAAGGGAAATATGAAAGCAAGATTGGATGATTATTAAATTTGTTTTCTTATTTCTTTTTTTTAGATTCTTCTTGTACAGGGATTTTAGCGATTCGGTTATGGCTACGGGGCAATTTACATGTTCTGAATGTTTGAGTTAGATGTGAAGTAAATCCTGAATCTCAGAACTGTATTCGAAATATCCCTTTTTCTTCTTCAGGTCCTGGTCTTCCCTTTCCTTTTAGTTCTCTTATAGAGACTCGAAGGCTCGGAGATCGTAGAACCCACGTCTATACTGGCTTGAGGTCCAGCCGACACTGCCAAGTGCCGGACTCGGAAGATGGTCGAAACCGTAGCTCGGTTGCCTGTTTGTCTCTTTTATTTATTTTATTTTCACTGTTATTACTTCATCGAATGCAGTCTATTTGCTTATCATGAGTTGGGTTATCATATTCTCACCAAGGATATTGTGATAGACGGAAATAAATGAATGATTAATAAAAGAGACTTCATTCGTGATTTCGTTTTAAATCCCGCGCGGCAACCCAGCCCTTCGGTCGTCCTTTCTACCGCTAGCTTCCTCCTTCGGGGTGAACGGCCCGCTCGTGACACCGACCGCTGCTCGTAAGGTGCACGCCGACGCCTCCTTCAATGGGAAACTCGCCCTTAGAACAGGTGTTGTCCCGTGCTATAACGAGCGTGGTTGTAGGGTTGACATGCGTGTGGTAGGAGATAGCGATTTGAGCCTTGCGGGATATCTGGATCGGTAGCCGCACACGCACCAACCTCCTCGGCATTGGGAGTTCTCTGGGATCTTCTTCACTCACGCTCCTATGGGCGGAAATCCCCGATAAGCGAACACGAAAGCGATCTTATGGACGGTCGGTGGGGTTAGGGCTCCCTGCGATCCCGGTAGAGGTCGAAATGCCGCAAACCTGAACGGCAAAACACCCTTCTGGCGAATGGCGATCAGGCCCAGGTAGCGACCGCCTCCGGGGAGAAAGGGCATGGAAGTGTCGCCGGCGCTATGGGAGTACCTGAGGCCTTGTGCCCTTGTTGCCCCGCCGTCTGCCGAAGAAGGGGGAGGAGCCACAGCGTTTCGTCTGGCTCCCCCCCTCCGTCAGGTCTCCAGCCCCCCCTTCAGAAGGTGTGCCGTGGGGTGGGGTTGGGGGGGGCGTCCGCGAAGACGTTATGAGGACCAGACCGGAGCAGGGAATCTTCAGTTGAGTGTGCAGTGCCGCAGTGGACGGAACATTAAGGCAGGCACACCGCTCCAAGCAAAGCCACTGTGTAAACCGCTGTGGAACTTCTGTGGAACTTCTTCTGTGTGGTTCTCTCTCTCTCTCGCCGTGCCGCTGACAAGTGACTCTATAAAATTGTGAGACAGTGCAAGTGTCCGCGAAGAGCAGAAGTGCCAGTGCCTAGCCCAAGGTCGAAGAGGTAAGAAAAGAGCGACGGTTTATCGCAAAAGTGTGTTTGTTCTGATCGCTCTCACCTGCGCGTGGATTTACGTTGGCGATGCGAATGCTTTTCCGAAGGAGATTTCAACGCGGAAAAAAATAGTTATCTTTCGACGTCTAAAATCCGAATTAGAGCAAAAATGTGGAATTGTGATATTACACAAAGTCGATTTTTTCCCACTTTAGGAAGAAAAAGAAGTTTACTTGAGGAAGATTCTTAGAATTACTGATTCAGTGTATCCGGAATTACATACGAAGACAAAGTACGATATCAGAATTCGCCACAATATAAATGTTAAGTCAGCTGTCCATCAGACATTGAGATTTAGACACGAGACACGTTCGAGACAGTCGGATCATGACCAGAAATCTTTTTCAAGTTCGAGTTGACGTTTGGAATAGATAATTAACTTACCGTTATATTTCCGTCAGTTTTCTCCGTTAGTTTTACACAAAGAAGTCATAAAGTATTTTCCAAGAATAAAAAAAGCTTAAGAGGGTACAATCCTTATCATGTACTATCTTTCAAAGGTAACAAACACGCAATGATCCGTATCTTAAAACTTCAAAACATAATGATCTATATCTTTTAGTACATCCTCTAACAAACAACAAAACCCTCCAGAAGAAATGAGATAAACAAGATAAACTCATTTTCCAAAAACAACCTGGACTCGTCATAGTTTTTTTTTTCTTACTTTTTACTCACCTCTTTCTTGTCTTGCGAGTTGTTAGTCATCAGAAATACAGTGACACTCGCGCGAGCAAGGTCGGGGGCGAGTGTAGGCCAAATGCAGTGGAACCGGTTTAGAGAATTGCTGTTTATTTGGGTTTACGTTTTTTGTCTGGGGCAATTTTGTCTCTTTTTTTTTCTTCTTCTTCGTCTCTCTTTTCCTACTTTATCGTTTTCTTCTTTTTCTTCTACTTCTCTTCTTCTTCTTCCGGGTTCGTTTTTGTGTTTTCTTCTTTGTGTCATTCTTGATATTCTGATAAGTCATGTGAATTGTACAATTGATATAACAAAAGCATAGAGTTAAAACTAACAAAAGAATATATATTCCAAACTGCTCCATACTCTCTCCTCCCATCCCTCCCTTTATTCTGTCCATCCTTTCCTCCGTCTCTCCCTCTCTCCCTCAGCCATTCCATTCCTCCTCACTCTCTCCTCAATCCTCTCTCCTCCTTCCTCCCTTCCTCACTCACTCCACTCAACCCCTCCTCCCTCTCCCTCCCTCTTCCTCTTTCCTCACTCATCCTCCTCCCCTCCCTTCTTCCCTCTCCCACTCCCCTCTCATTCCCTCCCTCCCTCCTTCCCTCCTCCCTCCCTCTTTCCTTTCCTCACTCATTCCTCCCTTCCCTCCCCTCACCCTCCCCCTTCCGTTACTTCCTGAAGGAGGCCAAGAAGGCAAAGCGACCCCATTCCCTCGTCTGGCCCACGGTTAAAGGCTACACAGGTAACGGCTCATTAATGCAAGGGAAGTCCCAAGGGTTACATGTCCCGTTTTGGCCAGGCTGAGGGTCTGTGCCTGAAGGAGTAGGTTGAGGGGAAGGAGGAGGGAGAGGAGAAGGAGGGAGAAGGAAGAAGGAGGGGGAGAAGGAGGAGAGGGGGGGGGAGGGGAAGGAGGAAGGAGGGGAGGGGGAGAGGGGAAGGGAAGAGAGGAAGGGGAAGAGGGGGAGGAAGAAGGAGAAGGAAGAGGGAAGGGAAGAGAAGGGGGAGAGCGAAAAATATGAAGGAGAAAGCGGAAGTAAAAAAAAAACATTTTAAAAAATCACCCAACCCCTAAAAAAATCAAACCAAAATTAACGAAACGAAGAGAAACAGAAGGAGGGGGAAAGAAAACAGACGATAACGAAGGAGGAAGGAGGGAGGCGGATAGTCGCGTGCTCGGTGACTCCGAATCTTGAGGTCAAACTGAGTCACTTGCGGTCCATTTCCTTCTGTTGGAAAAGGGTTAATTTTTGAGGGAAAAGAGACTTAATTTGATATCAATCTTATCGCGGAATCAATCTATCTATTGAAAACTTGAATTAGACCAACTCTAAAACTCTAATTAGTTATATTGAATTGTTAATCGGATCTTTTAGAAATGTATTAATAAAACTGAATTTAAAATATAAGCACAAGTAATAGTATAATTCATTGGGATAGATAAATATACAAGTAGGATTTAGAACATCTTACCAGTAATGTCTTGAAATGAAAAAAAAAAAAAAAAAAAAAAAAAATCAGTATTAAATCAGTATTAAAAATAAAAAAATAAAAAATCAGTATTAACGAAACAATTAAAAGAAAAAGAAAATTAAATAAGATTAATAAACAGAATTAACAAACAACAAAAAACGAAAGAAAAGAAAAAAAACTAAAATTAATGAAAACAAAACAAAAAAGAAAGAAAATAAAACTAAAATAATAAACCAGAATAACAAAACCAACAAAAAAAAGAAAGAAAATAATAAAACTAAAATTAATAAACCAGAATTAACAAAACCAACAAAAAAACGAAAGAAAGAAAATAATAAAACTAAAATTAATAAACCAGAATGACAAAACCAATAAAAAGAAAGAAAAAAAAGAGTTAAGAAACCTTCAAGATTCCTACGAGTTTGCCAAACCGACGATGACGCTGCCAGTTCCTCAGCGGTCGCCATGGCAACGCCTCTTTCGCTCAGAGTGCCATCTCGCGGCTAATTTTTCTGCGGTTTTTGTGTTGTTCATGAGATTCTAAGTTACAGGAATTGTTTTATAATCAGTTTTTTTGCTTGTTCGTCTGTTATATATATATATATATATATATATATATATATATATATATATATATATATATACATATATATATATATGTATATATATATATATATATATATATATATATATATATATACATATATATATATATATATATATATTATATATATATATATAATATATATATACATATGTATTGTATATTATATATATATATATATATATATATATATAATATATATTATATATATATATATATATATATATATATATATTATAATATATATCTATATATATATATATATATATATATATATATATATATATATATATATATATATATATATATATATAATATATATATATATATATATATATATATATATATATATATATATATATATATTATATATATATATATATATATATATATATATTATATATATTATATATAATATATATATATATATATTATATATTATATATATATATATTATATATATATATATATATATATTTATATATATATATATATATATTATATATAATATATATAATGTATATATATATATGTATGTATGTATGTATGTATATAAAGTATACACCTGTAAACACCGCCATGGCCGCACCTGCAACACCTGTTTTCACTGATTCATTCGTCAGTTTTGTTCTCCCAGAACGGACAGTTATTCGTTCCGTCTCTTCTCTCTTCTCTTCATCTTTGGTTCTTCTTACTTATTCTCTTGGTAATCTCTCATTGTAACTAATTTTCTTTTTATCCGTCTCTTTCTTTCGCTTTTTAAATATTTTTCTTGTGTATATTTTATCTTGTTTTCTCTCTTCTTCCTCTTTCTTCTCTTACATCCTCCTCTCTTCTATTGTTTCTTTCCCCTCTTTTCCTTGTCTTTTTTCTTTCTTTTTCTCTTTCTCTCTCTCTTCCCCTCCTCAAACCCCTCCCTCCTCCCATTCCCTCATTCATCCATTCCCCTTATTCTCCTGCTCTCCTTCCTCTTCCTCTTCCACCTCCCCCCCTCCCATAACGCCATTCCCCCCCCTCCACCATCAGTTGTGGCTGGGTGAGCGCAGCGACTTCCGCTCTTAAACCGGGGTCTCGTAAGGCCGATAGTCCCGCGCCCCTCCTCCCTTCCCTTCCTCCAGCGGTCTAGCTCCCTTCCCCTTCCTCCCTCCCCTCCCCCCTCCCCCGTCCCCTCCCGTGGGCGTGTGGGCGTGGGAGAGAGAGAACGGCAGCGGCTGTGGGTTGTGTCTTCGCTTTGCGGTTTTCTGTTCCCGATTTACCGTAATAAATCTGTGGATTTTAGCGAATGGTGGGTTTCAAAGAATCTCTCTGTCTGCTTATCTATCTTATTTATCTACTATGTCTATATCTCCCTCTCTCTCTATCTATCTATCTCCTCTCTCTCTCCTCTATCTCTGTCTATCTATCTATTTACCTATATCTTCCTCTCTCCCCCTGTCTATCTATCTATCTATCTATCTATATCTTTCTCTATATCTCCCTCTCCCTCCCTCATTCCTATATCTATCTATCTATCTATCTATCTATTTAAGAGAGAGAGAGGGGAGAGAGAGAATTGTCTCATAAAAATACATTTTAAAACCCAAATCAAAGGTAAAAAGAAGAAAGATAAAGAAAGAAAGAAAGAAAGAAAGAAAAGAAGAAAGAAAGAAAGAATGATAAAAAAAAAAACTAAAATTATAACATGGTTTCTTTGCATTCTGTAACTGCCTCGATTTTTGTAACTGTAAATCCAATTCCTCTCTCATTTTTTGGGGATTATTATCGTGTGGCCAACAAGGACGCGATCATCTCGATTATACACGCGTTTCTGACCCTTACGAACTGAGGCCCTCCTCCTTCCCCACTCCCTCCCCCCCTCCTACTTCCCTCTTTCCTATCCCGTCCCGTTCCCCGCCCTTTCCTACTCCTCCTCTTCCTCTTCTTTTCCTTCCTATCCATCCCGACATTTCCTCCTCCTCCTCCTCCTCCTCCCTTCCTATCCACTCCCCTTCCCCCCCCTTCCTTTCCTCCTTCCCTTCCTATCCACTCTCCTTCCTCCTCCTCTCCTCCTCTTCCTCCCCTTCCATTCCTTCTTCCTTCCTTCTCTCTCCTTTTAAATCCCTTACAACCCCCCAACCCCCACCCCACCCATCCCCCATTTGGATGTCTCGGGGGTGTGTGTGGGGGGGGATATCCACAGGAAATACAGTGTACA